CGATTCCAAGAGTGCCTTCGATTCAGTCGATCGATCGATTTTGTTCGAAATACTTGCGCAGAAAGGTGTTCCCACGATATAGGTGAACATCCTTCGTGCTCTATACTCGAACACTACAGGTCGCGTCAGAGTCTACGGTTGTCCAGGATTGTCCGACGTCCCCATTTTTGTTCAATTTCGTCTTGAATTCTATCATGGAATCTCACAATGTAGACGTTGAAGTTCTGTCTGGTGAAAGACTAGTTGATCCTGATTATGCGGACGATATCGTCTTGCTTTTCGACGATGTTCCCACGGTACTATCAACCCTGAATAGCCTGTCTAGAGTGGTCCCATTATTTGGTATGCACTTCGCGCTTTAAAAGTGCAAAGTGTTGCTGCAGAACCACCAGCCACTTGATGACTCCTTGACGCTTGCTAACTAGGAACTCGAGGTGGTTGATCAAATCACTTATCTTGGCAGCTGCATCAGCAATGATGGGCGCATAGTAACTGACGTCAGTTCATACATTACAAAAGCCAGAGCTACGTTCTTGAACCTGCGGCATCTTTGGCGACAGAAGGGAGTTTCCCTTCCTTCTGAAAGGCCGAGTATACAAGGCCACAGTGAGGACCGTTCTGCTCTATGGTAGTGAGACTTGGCCCCTTCGGTCTGAAGATCTGAGGCGCCTTCAAGTCTTTGATCAGCGTTGTCTGCAAAGCATTGCTGGTGTCGAATGGCAGCAGCGTGTTCGCAACGATGATGTGCGTAGGCGAGTACTAGGTAGTGATAATCATGCTAGCTCCATAGAACAACAGATGGCACTGAATAAGTTGCGTTGGCTCGGGCATGTGCTACGTATGCCTGACCACCGCTTACCTAGGAGGGCCTTGTTTAGTCTGCCAAGTGTAAGGTGGCGCAAGGCTCGAGGTGGACAGAAGTTGACTTGGCAGCGGGAAATGAAGTCACTGACGACCAAACTGGGTGCCGTTGGTCCGTCTTGCCTTCCGGGCTGGAGTCCACATGATTCGCCTTGTGCTTGGCTCGAGACTTTACAGGACATGGCTTGCAATCGACACCAGTGGCGCGTCTGCTGCCGTCTCCTAATCGGATTGCCTGTTTAAAGTGTGTTTGGTGCTGAGTTATCTGCGGGGCAATGGCTGATTTTGACGCGTGGCACTGAAAGCCGCAAGGAAGCTGTTTTGCTGCTGCCGCCTTATCTTTGCACGATAGCCCGCTGTTTGTGACGGTATATTGTCTACACAAGGTGTAGGCGCCTTGACCCTGAATGTTTGCTTAGGTCATTAAGGTTTTCAGGTAAGGCCCCCCTTCTCTCCCTCTTCATATTCATTATTTCTTAGGTCTTCATGGTTGTATGGCAGTAGATCATCGGTTCAAATGGCCGATGTACTGTTGTTGATGATGGTGATGATGTGAGCCGTGACAACTGGATCTACCGCACTTCGTTGCTCGGATCATAGTTGTTCAGTTGAACTGGATGGCACTAATTTTGATGACGTTAAACGGTTAGATAATGCAACACTAATTGAGGAATCGCTTTAAGACAGCGAGATGTATAACCTGGTAACTAGACTGAAAAGTCAAGTGCATGACTAGTAACGGTAACTATTTCAGGGAAATAAACAGCGCTCAGCCCTATTACTTGTTTTTTCCTTCTATCCGATTGCTGAGAAAATAGGTCAACTTAAACAATGCAAGAGATTATGCAGCGCATTAGGGAAATGGTTCAACGAAGGAGCGGTCAAGTAATCATACATCCTGAGCACCAGGAAGGGCGATGACAAAGAAAGGAGCCTGCCCAAGCATGTGCAAAATGGCTGGTTTCGGGGTTTTGTGGTACCGAAGCCAGCGTGGGAATTGAGAAGGGTTTGAAGAGGGCCATCAGAAACAAAATGAAAGTAAAGCGTGAGCACGTATTTAATTAACAAAGACCGGTTTGGAGTCTTTCACACATTTACAGTAGTATTGGCATTCCAGCAATATTGATTTTTTGGGAAACGTAATTACACAATTATCGCTTTGTATGGTTTGAAGTGTCACCAATGGGGCGCGTGTCACCATCTGAAATGCACTGATCTAGCTAGCTACATTAACGTCTATTGGATAGACGGTGAGATCACGAACCATATAACAAAAACTCGAGACACTTTTGTTCATAGGGTCGGTGCGACATCACTCTCCCTGAACGGCATAGTTTACAATGTAGCCGTGCGTTCAACACTCCTGTACGGTCGCAAAACCTGATCGACAGACCTAAAGAGGCTGGTTTCGTTCGACCAACTTTACCTTCGCAGTTTGGCTTTTTTCGGAAGAGAAAACCACGTGAGCATCGAGCTTGTTCGGCGTCTCGTATTTGGTACTGAAAGAGCGAATGAACCACTCAGCACCGTTATATGATGCACCAGACTCCGATAGCTGGGCCACATGTTGCTTATGCCAGCACACTAACTTCCGCGACGCGCGTTGTTTACGCGCCGGGGTTTGGATGGAAGAAGAGGAGGGGAATCTAAGCGATTACTCGGTCAAAAGGAATGATGTCCCTCATTTCGAACTTGGCGTTGGTTAGTATTTCCCGATTGCCAAGCGGCGGTCCGAGACACGATGAACACGTTTTGTTCGATACATTAGTTGACATGGCGAAGAGCCAAGCTCAGTTGCATTTGTGTTGTGACTTTCTCTGTCTCTCCTCTTCCCGCTTATTTGTCCTCTCCAATAACTAACTCCCACTGCATGTACACTATTACATTAAGCATTGTTACTTGTATTTTTTTAGTTTTTTATTATATATTGTTTGGTACCTCGCTTTTCGTGTATATATATGTATATATATATTGGACGTTTTGCAGTTCGGGAGTTTGACATACCAATAGTCACACAGCCACACATGCTCATGCATAAACGCCCAGGCACATAAACTACATGAAGGCTGATGTAGACAGTGAGGGTCACTCGGTCACCGTCTTTGATCGAGGTTCACGATCAAGAGAAGGGTTTGCTGTGGCATCTGCGCCTTGCATCATTCGGTAGCATTAGCATGACTACAATGAGGTCTGAACATCGTTCAATCGCCCTTATCATTTCTTGCCAGCAGATTGCTGATTATCTGCTTGAAATATATAATGTGTCCAATTCGGTTTGCGAAATGTCCAATTTGTTTTGCAAAACATCCAATGTGGTTTGCAAAACGGCCATTTTGTTTTACCAAACGTCCAAAATAGCTTGCAAAGCGTCCAATGTAAGGTGAAATTGGTCTATTATGATTTGAACAAATGTCACCTAGCTTTGGAGTGTCATTGTGATGCACTCGTTTTGTGAATGGATTGCGATGCGCAATCTCAATGTGAACCGCTTTTCCCTCGAAAGTAAACCTGGAACCGCAATTGATGAAGCAAATGGGTGATGATCCGGTTGTCCCCCTGTCACTCTTTGGGCCTTCGCGTATTTTGTGTGGGTGTGTAGGCGAACCTGTGCAGCTGCACAACTGTTGGAACACTGTAGGCTATCATGGCCACGAAACCCAGTCTGGCTTTACTGGCTTGCTGCTGTAGTTTGTTTTTGAGAAGAGGGGGGTAAGGCGATTGGACGATGTTCAGGTGACATTGTGGTCATGCAAATGCAACGTAACTGCGCAAGCAGTGGGCGATTGTGCACGCTTTTCTCTTGATCATAGGCCTCATTCATCCCCATCGAAGCCGGTTACCCAGTTTCCCCTGTCACTCCATGGGCTTTTGCTTATTTTTTGTGTGTGTGGACAAACCTATGCAGTTGCTGGACTGTTAGAACAGCGTGGGATATTATGACTCCACCAAACGCAGCATAGCTCTGTTAACCTTGTGCAGCACGCCATGATCAAAATTGGCGACGAGAGAACGCCTCTCCGATGCTGCGGCGGTACAAGCCGAGGTCATCGGCACAGAAAGCGATCCTCAACAAGCTTTTGTACGTCAGCAACAAAATCACCCACGAGGCTGCTGAAGTCGCCGATGTCAACAATCGGAAATAAGTGCATACCTACCACGTAGATAAGCTACAGAAGAGCACAGACCTTGCTCACTCATATCCCCTGCTGCAACAACCCTACCTGAACTCGTAATACTGCGGAGCAGCGCGTTCAGTTATGTTGTAGAAGGCGTCCTTAGCAACGTCAGCACTGCAGTAAAGGGAAATCACAAACAAACAGCGTCTAGTACTATTTCGCTAATCAACGGGCTGCACACAAACGGCTGCTCAATGGAATCCAATCAACCAACGGTGACTCAGTCTTGGAGCTGAGCACGATGCCTACCCAAGCTTGACCAGTGAATGCCGCATTAGTGTCTCCGACTGCGTGCAACCGATAGCGATGGGACAAGCCGGGCGCAGTTAATCCAATAACCTCATTATGGTCATTGACACTAGTTTCTGACACACAACATACGACAATGCCTAGTGTGTCCAACATGCGTGCGAGTGCAGCCTGTTAACCTATTTTTCTTCCGGTGCGAACTTTGAACGCCGCTAAGGAAACGGGACAGCGTGATTTTATAAGGGACTGTTGCTGATAGGCTTCCAGTGGATGGCGCGGGAAGGTAACTGCAGATGATTCGACTCCAGTGTCACTGCGACTGCTGGGAATTACAAAAGAAAGGTTAGTGGTGGGGCTTGGGAGGAGAGTAAGAAAAATAGGTGAAACAGAAAAGAAGTCACCAGCCGTAGCATGTTTTCGCTTATCCGCCCTGCTGTATGCAGCAGATGAGGCGATCTTTGTAAATCTGTGCGACAGCCGATGCCGGATGTGATTAAAGTTCAAGGAAGTAATCATATTTCCTTCGTCAATGCTTTAATTAATAATTGGCTAAAATTGCTATTGACGTGACTTCAGTTTATGCTCATATACAGCGATCCTTCACTTGTCAGTTTTTCAATCGTTCCATCATTTCTTACCTGATCAGCCAGCAGGTTCTCATTTCAATTAGTCCTATATTCCAGCTGCTTTTTTCTGTTTTTGTTTTTTAACTAGCATCCTACTACGTACAAGTGCTCCCTCAAATAAGCACGCAAGGACTTAATGAGTCTAATGTCGACGCTTTACTGACGGAAACTCGCGAGAAGATGCTCGAATGTCTGGAAAATTTGAAGAAAATTCCTCCCCCTCGGTGATGATTGCACTCTCTATTCACTTATCGTCCCCGTTATCCAAGCTGCAGAATCCTCAGATACTGCACAATCATACTACCTTCTCCGTTTTGCCGAGATTGTATTTCATTTTTTGTCATTTTGTCAATGACTTGATTTGGATTAGAATACTTATTAAATCTACTCTTTTTTCCTCCGACACGGCGCATCAGCTTTTCATGGATTGTGATACTTGCTTGTTGTCGTTCACAGGTTAGAGTCTGCGTAGGTACGCACTAGGTCACAATATCCATAGTCAGCATGTGATTGCCGGGGGTCGCGTAGCACCTAAACGTCGTCGTACGAGGTCCCGGCGTAATGTAATGTAATGATACTCTATCGCACCTGCACCACCATATCGAGCAGTCGGGAAACGCAAACCACATTTTCTATCATGAATGGTTCTACCAAATATAACTGATATTACATTCTATAAGTCAGTGATGACGGACGAAAGCAGATATTGGTATGCTGTTGACTCCAAATGAATGGAAATCACGCTCATCACCGCATTCATTAGATTGTCCCTTGTTTGACATTCTGTCCGACGTCTTATCTTACATACGTTCGTGTATGAAGTACATGCGTTAGTTTATCGGATCATTTCAATCGCTGTACCCTAACTCCGTGAATTGCAGTTATCACCTCTTAGACACATTGGTGCCTCTAAACGTAAAATTGTGGATTAGTTCCGCAAAACTAGCGTTGGTCCAGTTCATCTGCTTTGCACACTGCACATTTCCTTTCAATCGTAACTTCGAACTGCGGAAAGAAGGTGTTCCCACTTTGGCTACTTGGAGCTTCGCTGGTATTAGCCTATTTCCTTTGTGCTCCATACTCAGATTCATGCACAACCGGGAGAAAATTCGCTAGCTATGTGATGCAGGGAATATGAGGCGTCCAACAGGTTAACCCATGCACAGAGAGGACCGCAAATTGTAGCGGTTCATCAGAGCACACACGATACTACAGACGTGCAGACGAAAGCTGAACTAACAGTTGAAATTGTCCTAACTGCAGCAACTACTACCGATGCAATGGATTCTGATCATTTGACTATACTTTTTGTCACTAGAGTTCAGATGTCTCCTTGGTTTGCGTTCAACGTCTAAAAGCTGAGTCTGGGTGGTGTTTGATCACCCTGCCCAGATGCCCTTTAGTATTAGTCTTTCCACTCTCTTTTTGCACTGCGTACGCGTATCGTCCCTTCATGAGAGATTCAAGGACATCGAGGCTCGACGGTCGGTGTTTACTACATTGGTACGTTCAGAGTTTCTCACTTACTCTGAAGCATCCTAATCTAGAGTGCGGGAGGTGGTTTTATTTGGAGGTCATTTTCAACGGATGTTCGGTGTTCTGAAGCGCAGCTCAACTAGAAGTGTCAGGGTCTATCAAGAGTGCTGGTACAGAGTAAGGACTGTGGGATAAACAAGGCGAATAATATTAGAATGTACTGTTTTAAATCATTATATTCGCAGACAAACTTAATTCCATCTAAGGAAGGGATAGCGGAGGAAATTGAACAATTAATCCATCCTCCGATCTGTGAAATTAAACGGTTGACGAAACACTCAGAAGAGCATTTTCGACCGGCCTGATTAATCCCGTCTATTTTCTAATTAACTTAATCCCACTTCGGACGTCGACTATGCGCATTCCAGCTTCGACGAATCTGATGCGAACTGGCACTGTTGAAACAAAGTACCTAAACTAAGTAAAGAAATAAATAGTATTATTTGGGTCTTGCTCTTCCCAACACTGGCACACCACGACCGCGCTTTCGTCCTGGTTTGAACTTGTCAGGTGGAGATAGCCTGAGCTGGGGTGAAACTCAGAGCTTAGTAGTAGAGGTTGCGAGTCGCAACCCAACCACACCGCGTGTTCCTTAAATTCAACTTTGAATTACTTTCCGCTGTGCGAAGCGTTGCTCGCGGATCTCAGTAGCATGGTGTTCAGGGCGTCAGCCATGAACTACTAAGCTGAGTTCCACCCCGGCTCAGGCTATCTCCACCTGAGGAGTCTAAGCCAGGACGAAACCGCGGTCGTGGTGTGCCAGCCTTGGGAAGGGCAACGCACAAATATTTTCATTCTAGCTACAGTCCTCGAGATCGGAATGACCAAGGTTTACCTCAAAGTGAACCTAGGTCTCTATCGAGGTTGCGAGTCGCAACCCAACCCAACAGCGTGCTCTCTAAATTCAGCTTTGAAATAAATGGTATATTCTGGACAGCACGAAGCACGCTTCGTAGGCATAATCAAGGTAAAGCTACAGGGATAATCAGTCAATGTACAGAAACGTCACAAGTTTACCGATAACAGTGAATTTATGTTGCATATCTGAAGGTATGTGTATGCAGGAATGTTGTCTGTATTTGTGGACATGTTGCTGCACTTGTAATTGTTTTCCGTCGGATCGTCTGAGTGCGAAAGGATCAAAGAAATTCTTCGAGGTAGATGAATGATGTCCGCAGGTTGGGTAAGATTGTTTGGAAAGGCAAGAAGTAGTGACTTTATTTGGTTGCGTGTCATATTCGCCACCTCGCAGTGCTGTTAGACAGACTTTTCTGTCTTTTTATAGGGAGAACGCTTCCCAGGCGGTGACCCACCACGTTCTGGAACACTGCCGCCCAACCAGCCGATAGAACGGGATCTACCCGAACCACCTATGCGGCATCACGGGGAGGTTGTTCGGCTAGTCAGTCAGTCTGTCGTTGCTGAAAATTATGGCGATCCACTTGTGATATGAATAATTTACTCCTAAGGTGACATGAAATCCGTATAACAGATGCTTTTTAAACTTTCTTCCGTGCCACTATGTTATGCTAAGGCACTCGGTAAGCGTTTTTTGAAGACAATTGAAGAAATCACTTACAGGCTGACCCAGCCTGGATTTTGCACTCAAATGACTCCTACCAACCCTCTTCTTGCTTTGGTCCCGAAGCAGTTTCCTTATGTTGGATACTGGCGACGTACCGTCTGCTGCGAGGTGTGCTCCCAGTGAATCGACCCAAGTATTGGTCCAATTTACTGGTTTCGTTCAGATCTCTGTTGATTAGCAGTCTTCAACTCAGTTTTCAGTAGTATACTGTGTTGCCTGATTCTTTCTCGTAATTTTACTAACCTGATGAGAATTATTGGAGAGAGATTTCTTCGCTGCTTGCACTTATTATGTGTCTAACCGTTTCACATCGATACTGTTTGGCACAACCATGCAGCACAGTGATGATTTTGGCTATGACTCCGATCTCTGGGAAAGCTTAAACAACTGCAGTAGGTGGGTAACTGAGCTTGCTATCTCTTATCTTGAAAATGCTGTTTCTTATGGGATGCGGTACTCTGGATGTTTTAACATTTGCTTCACATATCCAACTTGCGAGGAGCTAACATGGGACTGAGTATACATACCCTAGATTTCGTGTTTACCTATTTACTACTCCTGGCGGATGCGTCACCTATCAGTTTGTGCCGCCCGTTACTTAAAGCCGCATAACTTTACAATCTCCCTCTGTCACGGAGGTGAAACGGCCGACTCCCATGATGCACTTTAGCAGGGCGAGTCTGGCCAGTCTGTGTGAGTGGATGTCAGACTCGTTGCAGTGGCCAAACCAGAAGCTGATGAGATCCGGCATCAGCCATCACTGCGTTGCTATGCGCCTGATAAGAAGCTGACGAAATCGCACCTCATTGTCTCGGGCGAGCAATGCTGAGCTTGGCCAAGCGGGCAGACAGTCAAGGGCCAATCAGCCAGGCGGCGCAACAAGGATTGGTAAGTGTGTCCTATAAATATCAACGCTCCTCCGACACTATACATGCTTGTCGGTCGTGTTCATATTCTGTTTTCTCCGGGCTGGTTGGACGGTTGCGCACTCAGAGAGTGGAGCAAGGCGCACGCGTTAAGGGCTCTAGGCAAAAGGCGCGCACACGTCAGTACTCGCGAGCTTCGTACTATGGGAAGGTTGGTGAACGTCTGAGCAGTAGCAGAGCATAAGGCAGAGAAGAGAAGCGAGACCTAGCGGTTATAGCAAAGGCAACACGAACGAACGAAAGGCGGCGTTACAATATCCTCACCAACAAGGAAGCATCAGCAGTGCGGAGGTACGCTATGCCGATGCTTCGTTGTCACTCGTCCACCAACAGTCTCGTGCGAGCCAAGGATATTGCGATATCGCTCACACCTACATGCTAGAATTGGTGACCTTTCGGTCGGCGTTGAAGGCAGCGCGGCATTAAATTATCGGTCGAATATAGAGTGCATGTTCTCTTATGGTATGGATCATGAGCCTGATCACTCTGTTTTGAGGCCTCAAGCGACTGTTATCGACCATCGGGGTTTTGCTTAGCGTTTCTCTTGTTTTGTTTTACCGAACGAGCGATACTGGCGTTTGCAATCTAATGTTAAACGACGGGCTATGTGATGCAGTACTAGGCCAACTGTTGCACTTGAACCACCTGCGTCGTCTCAGTCTCATGTCTTTCGGGTATCTGTTGGCTACCGTACTCGACGGCATGTGTCGTTTCCGGGCACTGCGCCCATTTGAGTGCAGCTCCAAGGTTACCGACCGATGAGGCACCAAAAATTATGCTGAAG